TAGCAGTTCTGTACATAGAACTTGTAGGTGTGTTCACTATTCGTTCAACACCACTTGTGCAAGCAAAGTGCATCACAGATTCACCTTAAGAGGAAAATTGACCATATGAGGAGACCAGGCTCTTTTACTATAGAAGATTATCTTTTTGTTTGTACATATAGCATCCTCTCTGTGTATATAAACCCCTAGGTAGAATGCTAATGCTCAGTGCTTAACTCTCTCTCTCTCATCCTCATCTTGATATCTACCCAGATATACAAGACACCCCTTAGCCTTCCACTTGCCTTTTGTCTAGTCAACACAGGTAAAGTTTATCAGCCACATTTATATTTCAACAATCAAAAGAACAGAAATTACTGGCAAGTGATACAAACCATTATCATTGTGTGTTAGTGATGGAAGCCCAATGTACAAGCCCTTCTAGTGAGTTACTCAACTATTGTCTGTGAACTGGACTGTGCTGAATATATGAAATGAAAATCAAAGCTGCATGCACTTGCAGCACACCACTGGTGAACTATGATAGATGCACTGTTCAGCTTCCGCCAGAGATCTGGGACCAAATCTTTGACAATTTCACCCAACAGCTATTCTCACAGCGCGTGGCACAAGATCTGCGAGCTTGTGCTGCTGTCTGTGTGTCATGGCGTACGAGATGTTTGTTCCGTTTATCTCGCATTATCACTCTTTGGGACAACCGGCAAGCTGCCAGGATTGCAAAGAGGCTAGGACGGGACAAGGATCTTGCCAATGTCGTGAGGGTTGTGTCTATCCGCCTGCCATTGGCGTTGAAATCGTTTGCGCCGAGCATGGCTCGCAAGTTACAACGAGTAGAGACCTTGGAGATAGTCGCCCATAATCAATCCGGATGGGAGAATGTGAGGGTCGTAACGAATCTTCCTTGGGCATCACTTCACGTGGATGTTTTCATGCATGTGAGGATTACATTCGAATCTGTTACCTGTCTGAGGCTCTACGCTGTCAACTTCGGCTCAGCGGTTGTCTTTGGGCGACTCATCTGTGCTCTCCCCAACCTCACCTCTCTCTCTTGTTTTATGCTTCACCTCAATATGCGCGAATTTTCTCCGGGATCCCTTCTTCCCCTCCAGGATTTACCTCTCACTCATCTCAATCTGGACGCATCCAGTGACGTTGTGGAATTTATTCAGAAGACTTCAATTGGGGCCAATCTCGTCCATATTCAAATATGGGACAGTGGTTACAACTTCAATGCCCTACTCTATACAGCCGCGACGTCGCTACATGGCGTATGTATCCGAGTCGATGACTTGTCGGGAGAGTGGGAAGGTAAGTGCGAAGTTTGAAGTTTATGATAGTGGCGCCCACCACTGACAGACGATCAGAGGCTGCACTCGATTTTGCTCAGAATGTGAATCTCCAACATATCATGATTATTGTCCATTGGAAGGACGATGAATGGTTGGATGGACTACATTCGCTCTTGTCTAAAGTTTCGCCGTTGAAGCTCCGCGAGGTCTCTATAATATTTGCTCCCAATCCAGATGACACCCAAGATTTGGACGACCTTCTTGCTCGTATCGTTCAAGACGATTGTGTCCGGATCGATCAACTTCTTTCTGACTCTCGTCATAAGAGTCTTGAGGTGGTGTCCCTCCAACTGCGCTTTTTTCACAAGGACAACCCACATCATTTGGAGAATATTCCGGGAGCTGCTCAGTGGGAAACACATCTCTCGCCATATTTTCCTCGGTTATGGGGAAACGGAATTCTCCAGTTAGTGCGCCAGCTATCTATCACATCACATAAATGTGACGGTCATCTCTGCCACTGTAGGACTTCTATAACTTATGCTTGGGATCCATGATGCAGCACCACTGAATCCTGGAGCCCGAGACGTTACAACGTTCAGCGGCGCAAGGAGTCTACGTTAGAAGCATTTGCCACCTCTTTACAAGCTTGCTGACTATTTCAGTGCAACGAAATACCTAGGCGATTTCAGAAGCAATGTATTTGATTCGGACAGATCATCCTTAGTTGCCATAAAGTCGCAAGTAGAGGAATTAAGCACGCAAAGCTACAGAGCAATTCACCAGGAGGAACTCGTAATTCACTTACGTCACACTTAAATGGAACACATCCTGGCACTATAAATTGTGAGATATTGTAAAAGACTCCTATTGGATCCAGGTTGGCAATAACAAGCTGCAGAAATGAAAAGGCCTTTCAAGAATCAATTAGATAAATGGCCTCAAACCCAGCTCCGATGCTTTGATTTGCAGACCCTGTGACGACGGAAATTGAGATCGTAAGCGGGCTTTGCTTCATACTGACTCACCAGTTGTTTCGACAGAAATCGGGACATAGCGAAGTCACCACCAGTATACCACAACTGAAGCAATACCATGCGTCAGCCAGGCAATCACATCAATTCAGCAAGTGAACATACCCCTGGATGCCCAGATGGCCTATAGCAACCGTGGAGCTCCCCTTCCTCATCCATGCCCCAAAGATATGGAGTACGTGCAACGATATCATCCCCAAAGACTTCCTTCAGGCTCACACGGCAATCAGCGTAGCCCGTTCTATATGAGAACTTCATGGTGAGCCTAGAAAAAGACTACTCATTGCTACTCACGCAAGCACAACCAAATCAACCTCAAGCTCTGAGCCATCCGTGAACAGAGCTCCATTCTCCGTAAGGCGCTCGATCTCGATACCTTGCTTCACCTTGACTCTGCCTGAATTAATGATATCTGCTACACCGACATCGATCCCTTCGAATGGACGTCAACAGATCGAGCTTGCAAACAAGCCATATTACTCACAGAAACCTAATGAGGAGGCCAACCGACATCAGAGAATGGTGTCGCATAACAGTGCTCCAATAGATCTACTCACCTCCAGCTCGCTCGAAAATCAGGAAGTGCTGTCCCGAACCGTCCCTACCCATGTTTAACTTCAAACCGCTCCCGCGCAATTTCGCGTGCAGCTCCTTCTCATTCTCCCACATCTCTGCCTCTCTAGCACGAGCCATCCGTCGCTGCAAAGCAAGCGGCATAGCGTTAAAACGCAGATCACAAACGTCAGACGGCATCCCGTCGGGATAATGCTCATCCATAGCTTCCTTCACTGTTCCTATAGATATTACGCACGTTGACGAGCGCTGCACCATTGTCACCTCTTGTGCCCCACGGAAGGCAAGGTCCTGGCAGATGTCGGCGGACGTGTTCCCCGCACCAACGACGATAGCGCGCTTGCCCACAAACGGGCGGCCGCCCATGTACGCACTGGCGTGCATAACTGTACCCTTGAAAACGTTCCTGCCAGGGACTTCAGGTATGCGCGGCGGGCCGAGGAACCCAGTGGCAACGACGATGTGCGCTGGACGCAGCCTGACAGAAGTGCCGTCCTTGTCGACGACAACGTCCCACCGATGACGGACCGCGTCATACGTCGGTGTCGGCAGGATCTGAGAACTAGTCCATACGATGAGGTCCTGCGACTGCGCATACTGTTCCAGCCAGTCTGCAACCTTGTCCCGGGGGGTGTACAGGGGCCAATTCCGAGGGTAAGGCTGGTAAAGCACTATCAATGTATTTATATAAAGTCTTCGTATTTCATCATAATGATGGACTCACGTGTGTGGTGGTTGCGCGTAGTGTGCAGCGACAGTGTCGGGTAGCGCTGCCGCCATTGGTCTCCTACTCTCTTGTTCTTCTCTAAAACCACAGTTGGGATGTCCATTTGCCTGAAACGTGCCGCGATTTGTAGACCCGTCTGTCCCGCACCCACTTCACCAATGTTGAGTGAGAGAAACTATAATGATCTTATGTAGTACTCACAGATTAAAACGTATGGATCATTCTCGATTCTAGCTCGTCTAGAGCCATTCACTTCCTCCCAAGCCAGTGTATGTCCACCATATGACCCTGGCTCTGGACCTATCTCTTCATAGCCTTTGATGTCCTCAAGATTGGTGAACAACGTCAACGCCTTCCATTCACCAGAATCCTCTTCCCGGAGCAAGTAGACGTAACCATGGGCTCGACGGTCAGGCATTTCAAATGTGAATCCGGCCGCGATTGCATTGCCATCGAGAGCGGGCTCCGCGCGCAACCCAGGCTGTTCATCTAGTTTAAAGTTCGATAGATGAGCAGCAGAGAGAGTATCGGAGAGGTATGCCGCGATACTATCGCGACCTTCTAGAGAGCGAGTGTCCCAAGTAAATACAAGAGCGTCTCGAAGCCATCCATGAGGGAGGAACGTTTGCACTGTGTTGTTAACGTCTCCCGTGAACGCAGCGCGCGCGAACTCGCGTAGCCAGCTGTCAGCAATTTGCTGGTAGTCTACAGACATGGTGGACCAGAGGCAGATTAGACGTCATGTCGTGTTGAGACATCCCAAGCTATAGCTTGCTGCGCGTGGGAGGGTAGAGATGAGAGTCGAGAGCAGATGGTTAGTACAAAGGTCAGCAGGTGCTTCTCTGTGTCGCCTTATCAAGGCAGAATGATCACGCACACCGCATTCGTGTATTCGATATGCGCGCCAACTACAAAATGCCGAATGGCAGAAATATTGTGCATAGCCATACGCGATGTTGCAAGCGGCATTTGCGTCTAAGATCGATCAGCTGATTCTGGCTTTCATAGACTTGAATTGTACCAATGGAATTCAACTCACCTCAGTCAATGCGACTGGACCAGCGAGTGGGAAATAGGACACACGGTATCAAGCGCTTGATTTTGGTCATTATGGTGCATAGACGACAAAGAACTCGTTCACACGGAAGCACAACACTCCTCTAATGCCAACCTGATACTGAGAGATCATTGGTGGCTCGGTCGTGTTGTGAGGAAGGCTGGGGCGGAATTATAGACATTCCATATGCGGGAGGTACTCCCCAGTCAGCGCCATCCGATGCCAAGAAAGTACAGCTTCAGCCAAAAGTACGCCCGCATCCAGCCACGAGCAGCGATTGGACAGACAACGACGTAGCGTCCGTTGCTCAGTCAGGACTTAATGACACCTATCATAGAACACAGCTGAGAAGGACACATGATGAGACGCAACTTACCCTACGGGACAAGTGGGAAAGCCGAGAACGAACCAGGCAACTTGCAAAGTCATCAGCACACACGCCAATTTTGTTATAGCTTTCTCAATCGAATTCCGTTGACGCGTTTGCCAAAACGATCTTGATGATGAGCACAAACCATCTTCGCGATCCGAGTCGTCGCTGTGTGCCGAAGGTTGGCTCAGCTCCAGGAAGCCACATTCGCCCACGTTAGCATTTTTGAGGGGTACCTTGAGGAGCAGATGCAAACAGCAGAAAATAGGCATGTGTGCACATGGCATAAAGAGCAATAACAGGGAATCTTGCCAATGCTAACTGAATTCAAACACAAGCAGGACCAAATCACGTGAAACAAAGTGTTCATTGACACGCGCGATAAGCGCGCACCTTCCCGACTCGCAGCAGCGCTAGCGGTAGCTACCGTAGCACTTATGCTCTACTTCAACCCATCTTGTCTCTGTTAGCGGCCTCCTGCTTTGTACCTCATAGCGAGTCCTCTGGTTATCTCACAAGCATAGGGCGGAAGCCTATGTCTGAGATCCCCCTGCATAGCTTTGGACGAGCCAGAAAGTCACGAGCCGGATACGCGCCCCTCCCTAACGGTGAATCAAGTGGCCGCAGCGACCTCGACAGTGACTCTATGCCTCTTACTACAAGAGTGGCCGCAGCGACCTCGGCCAGGCGGAAAGGAAAGCGACGGGAGAGATATGACTCTGAAAATCCCGAGGAGGAGGAGACGTTACTCGGTCATGATCCACAAGAAGGAGACGGTACATATCCCGAGGATGAAACAGAAGCGAGTGTCACGCATCAGCCGGATACTCCATCTCAGGTGCGTGTACCACCTGTTATTCGTGAAGAAATGTCCGCCAATGTCAGAGGTAGCGACGATCCTTCCTAGGTAGATTGAAGTCTTCTAGTCAGGATAAATCTAGGACTGTGCCGTTTCGACCTCCAGGTGAGCTAAGGCTTGCTCTATGGGCATTATCTTCTTCGTGGATATAGGACTGCGTCAGCATCAGCACCAACATCTACGGCAGTACTACAGATGTGCTCCTTGCGGGCAGGAAATTGCCGTTTATACCGTTGCATGGAGAGAATTTCACGTCGGTACTCACATTGCGCGGTACTGATCAATGTTGGAGCACAACCAAGATCAGCCGATGCGATAACCAGTCATACGCGTGCACTAGCATCCTAATATTGTGTTCATGTGGCTGATTACTTTCATATTGGCATTGTCTACGTTGGCCTCTTCAATATCGAATGGTACACTGACGTACTAATAGATAAGCCCCGAAGCAAGTTCCCGCCCAACATTGTTCGGAATCAAAAGTACAATGCATTCACGTTCCTCCCAATCGTGTTCTATGAGCAGTTCAAGTTCTTCTTCAATCTGTATTTCCTCCTAGTTGCACTTTCCCAATTTGTCCCGGCGCTGAAGATAGGTGAGTGCCCTGAGTGTTTTATTTTACTGAGCGTCCATTGACACTCTGTAAGGGTTTATTGCGACGTACATTGCTCCTCTTGCCTTTGTCCTGTGCGTTACGATGGGAAAGGAGGCCTATGATGATTACAAACGAAATCTCCGCGACCGCGAGGCAAACTCCGCACGATATCTGGTCTTTGGATCTAACCATGCCGCGTCCGCAAGATCTACTAGGAATCGTGACGATGATAGCTCACACACGAGGTCTGTTCCATCGTCAGCTTTGCGCGTAGGCGATTTTGTCTTGCTTGAGAAGAACCAGCGTGTTCCGGCAGACCTGGTTTTGCTGCGCACGTCTGACCAGTCAGGGACGTGCTTCATCCGTACCGACCAACTTGATGGGGAAACTGACTGGAAGCTCCGAGTGGCAGTACCAGCAACCCAGAAGGCCCCAAATGAGAGAGAATTGCTTAGTCTTAATGCTGAGATCTATGGTGTGTTAATGGTCAACATTTACATATTGGACCAATGCTTATGTGAACTAATATCTCTATTTAAGCGGACGCGCCTATGAAAGATATTCATACATTTATCGGCACATTCACCATTAACTCACCGCCATCATCAACAAACGATGTTCCTATGGTCCAGGTTCCCACCGTGGAACCCCTCACCGCTGAAAATGTATTGTGGGCAAATACAGTACTGGCGGCGGGCTCAGCGGTAGGTTTTGTCATCTACACCGGTGCGGAAACTAGGGCCGTCATGAATACCAGCCACCCGGAAACGAAGGTTGGTCTGCTTGATCTGGAAATTAATCGATTAGCAAAGGTCAGTTCTTGTGTGCAATGGTGGATCCGTGTTGTGTTGAATCTATGCGCAAAATTTAGATTCTTTGTGCTGTGACGTTTGCTCTATCTTTCGCGCTGGTGGCTTTGAATGGCTTCCGGGGATTGTGGTATATCTATATCTTTCGTTTTCTCATCTTATTCTCGTCTATTATACCCATAAGGTGCGTCAACATTGAGGTAATAGATCGTACTTCTGATCTAGCATTTTGCAGTCTGCGTGTGAACCTTGACATGGGAAAGACAGTCTACGCGCAACAGATTATGACCGACAAAGAGATACCCCACACTATTGTGCGAACAAGTACCCTACCTGAAGAGTTAGGGCGCATAGAATACCTCCTCAGCGACAAGACTGGTACATTGACGCAGAATGGTAAGCACTGTGGCTCGGCCCTGAGCGTCTGTTGATCGTCCGCTTGTTAGAGATGGAGATGAAGAAATTACATATGGGCACAGTATCTTACGGATATGACTCTATGGATGAAGTTGCGCACCAATTGGCCGTGGCTTTCGGTGCAAGTGCCGAACAGAGTAACTATCTGTGCAAGTTTCTATATTGCATGTCTAACATTTCACTGTAGCTCACCATAGAATGGGCTCCACTGCAACTGGTGCACAACTTGCTACACGAGGACGGAGAGACATGTCGTCTCGCGTGCACGATGCCGTGCTCAGCCTTGGGCTATGTCATAATGTGCATCTCTAACTAAGAGAAGTTATACATTAGGCTAATATTCCTTCTCTAGGTTACTCCGGTCACTAATGACGATGGAACTGTCACATACCAAGCTTCTTCCCCCGACGAAGTGGCTATTGTTAAATGGACGGAGTCTGTTGGACTTACACTCACATTCCGAGATCGAACGCGCATTCAGTTGCAGACGCCTTCCGGTGCACGGATCTCCTTTGATGTCCTCGACATTTTCCCCTTCACCTCGGAATCAAAGCGCATGGGTATTGTTGTCCGTGATGCCCAGTCTGGCGAGATCACGTTCCTGCAAAAGGGTGCGGATGTCGTTATGGCACGCATTGTCCAGCGAAACGACTGGCTCGAAGAGGAATGCGCGAACATGGCTCGCGAAGGCCTGCGTACCCTTGTCATGGCACGGAGGCGTCTCAGTGAGCAATCGTATGCGTTGTTCAAGGAGCGATATCACCAAGCCAGCGTCCGACTCGAGGGCAGGAACGAAGCGATGGCCGGAGTTGTCTCTGATTTGCTAGAGCGCGACATGGAGTTGCTTGGTTTGACTGGGGTCGAAGACAAGCTACAAGACGAGGTCAAGTCGACCCTCGAGTTACTTCGCAACGCCGGGATCAAAATCTGGATGCTCACTGGCGATAAGATTGAGACAGCAACTTGCATTGCAATTTCTACAAAACTGGTTGCTCGAAATCAGTACATACACCAGGTCGCGAAGCGTCAGTCGATTCTCTATTGTTTTCCATGTTATCTAATTTGTCTGCATTTCAGTGAAGACGTCCGACGAAGTGCGAGATGAGTTGGAGTTCTTGCAGAACAAGCTGGATTGTTGCCTCGTCATTGACGGAGAATCGCTGCAGGTCCGCTGGCTACGAGTTCTTCTAGGCGATTCGGTGCTGATAATGCCTCGCAGCTGTGTCTCAACTTGTTTCAGAACGAATTTATTGAGATCGCGACCAAGTTGTCTGCTGTTGTTGCATGCCGATGTTCTCCTACCCAGAAAGCAGATGTCGCGCGGCTCATACGCAAACACACTAGAAAGCGTGTTTGCTGTATAGGAGATGGAGGGAATGATGTGAGCATGATACAAGCTGCGGACGTTGGTGAGTCACTCGGCCGGCTTGCATATTCGATTTTCTGATCTTCGTTTTCCAGGCGTCGGCATCGTCGGGAAAGAGGGGAAGCAGGCCTCCCTTGCTGCGGACTTCTCCGTCACCCAATTCAGCCATCTCACAAAGCTCCTGCTTTGGCACGGCCGCAACTCGTACCGTCGCTCAGCAAAGCTTGCGCAATTCGTAATTCACCGCGGACTGATCATCTCCGTCATGCAAGCGGTGTTCTCTGCAATATTCTATTTTGCGCCGATAGCGTTGTATCAGGGTTGGCTCATGGTCGGCTATGCCACTGTATATACCATGGCTCCGGTCTTCTCGCTCGTACTGGATCGGGACGTCAGCGAAGATCTTGCATTACTTTATCCCGAATTATACAAGGAGCTTACCAAGGTGCGGAAATTACCCTACTCCCATGCTAATCGAATACGTAGCGACGTTCCCACAGGGCCGAATATTGTCGTTCAAGACCTTCTTCATGTGGCTCATGATCAGCGTATACCAGGGTAAGCATTCCGGAGCGGTCCGCCAGTCCTTTCCGCTGATTCTCGTATCGCAGGTGCCGCGATTATGATCATGTCACTGGTTCTCTTTGAGAATGAGTTCCTGAACATTGTGTCGATCTCGTTTACCGCACTGATTCTGAACGAACTGATCATGGTGGCGCTGGAGATTACGACATGGTACCGCCCTCACAAGTCTCTCTGTTGCGCACACCTGACGTCTTTCTCCCAGGCACATCTACATGGTAATCTCAGAAGTCGTGACCCTTTTCTTCTACGTGATCAGCATAGCCTTCTTGCCGGAATACTTTGGTATGCGTGCCCATGTGCCGTTTAAGCCTGGTGCTGATGCCCCGCCTAGATCTTTCCTTCGTGGTGTCAATCCGGTTCGCATGGAAGGTGGCCGTGATCGTCGCGATCAGTGCATTCCCACTATACATCATAAAGCTTATTCGTAGCCGAATTGCACCGGCGGTGTCTAGCAAATTACTATAACTTATGTCGTTCGCGCCGTATTTCGATCGTTGATGCATTTAATGGTTGTCAGTGACATGCTAGTCTGAAAAAGGGATTGCAGGTATGCGACAATGAGAGTGATAAACGAAACGAAACAGTGTCAAGATGCAGATGACATATTAACTACTCAGCTGCCAGTATGAGGGGGCGGAGAAGGGTTATGAGTTACGAACGGGCCACCGTAGAAACTGGGAGAATGCTGCCAATCAGGAGTTGGAGTGCTCCAAAGCGAAGGTGCTAATGCAGGTGGACGAGGCGAAGCGAAACTTGGAGGTCCAGAAGGGCCGGGAGGTCCCCATGGCGTCCGCATGTCAGGCAAGGAGCTGCGAGGGCTGCCCCATGCCTGGCCGACGGGAACCCCTGGCGCGATGCGACGACCAGGAGCCGGGACAATCTCGTCGTCGTCAGCAATCAGCGCCGCTGAGCCCAACTTCTCTTTCGGACTGGGCGAAGGCTGACGAGTAGGCGACGTTGAGCCCGATCCTGAAGCCTCTGTGGTCGGTCGTGCTATTGGAGCAATCGGCCGGGTGATGGGACCAGGATCAGGTCCGGACGCACGGCCGCCCGGACTAGAATTTAGCATCTGCGTTGGCGACGACAGAGTGTTCTGTGCTGCTCTTGAAGGTGGTGCGATAGGAGCTTGAGGAGTGATAGGCGTCGGAGGCGCGATGGGCGCAGGAGGCGCTAGAGGACGTCCGTAAGCAGGATCAAATGGAGAACCATTACCATAAGCTCGAGGTAACGCAGAAGGCGCCAAGGGTGGCGGCGTGGGCTGCATTGACAGCCCAGGAGCCATGCCTATGAACGGACCAGGAGTATGCGCTATCCTGGGCGAGAGCACCGGAGGAATGATTCCACCCACAGGTGAAAACAGAGGCGTCGACGGTGGGAGGTGGTTAGGAATCTGAGAGGCAATTGGAGGGGGCTGAGCATTGGTAACGACGGTAGGACGGGGCTGTTGCGGGCGTGGAGGTTGAATGACCGGAGTGGCCGCAGGAGTAGACTTGTTGAGGATCTTCTTCGCAGGACCCGCGTGATTTGGAGACCGCTGCGAGGGGCCTGCGCTGTTAGCATTTCTAGGAGAAGTAGGAGGACGTGGGTTCCTCGAAGAAGATGCGCGCTGCTGCTGCTGCACCGCCCGCTCTCGCGCCTCCCTATCTGCTTTCTCCTTCTCAGCCCTCTCCTTCTCAGCCTTTTCCCTCTCTAGTCGTTCCTTCGCAAGCCGCTTCTCGCGCTCTTCCCTTTCCCTCTCCTGCTGCTCACGTTTAGCTGCGGCTGCAGCTGCACGCTCCGCAGCAAGTTTCGCCTCCCGCTCTTCGCGAGCCTTTCGATCCCTCTCCTCCTTTTCTCTGCGTTCTGCTCGGGCTTTCTCGTCTCGCTCCTTGCGTTTGCGTTCACGCTCGGCCTCACGCTCCTTCTCCTCAGCCAGACGCTTTCGTCTTTCCTCCTCCTTGCGATGTCTTTCCTCTTCCTGCGCCTTGCGCGCCACTTCCCTGCGAGCACGCTCCTCTTCACGCTTCTTGCGTTGCTCGTCTTCCAAAGCCACCTGCTTGGCCTTGATGGCCGCCTCCTCGGCAGCCTTCTCAGCAGCCTTGGCGGCACGCTCCTCCTCCTTCGCAAGCTTCTGCTGCCTATGGGAATAGATCAGACAGTGTCGTGTGACACAGCGGAGATGTACTTACCGCTTCTTGTCCTTCTTCTTCTGGTTTTGGGTCTGCTTTTTGACCTCTTTTTCCTTGTTTACTTTGTCTTCATCCTCAAGCTCGCGCAGAAGCTGCAGCTGGCGCGCCTGAGCGACCTTTTCACGGTAGGCCTGAAGCACTCTCTGCTCGAACATCCGCGCGGCGAAGATCGAAAACATCCGCTTGCCCTCTTCCATCTTCTGCTCCTCCGTCATGACCTGCGAGGGGTGAGAGATCGAACGGGGAACCAGCTAATACACAAACCTCCTCTTCGTCCTCTTCGTCCTCGTCATCATCCTCATCATCCTCATCCTCGTCACCGTCGTCTTCGTCTTCGTCCTCGCTGTCATCTTCGACATCGGCTGCGGCCTCTTCCTCCCGTTGCATCCGCCGTTCCGCGAGCTGCTCCATCATCTCCAAGAACTTTTGACCGTCGTTCTTGAGAAGATCATCAGCAACAGTTAGAATATTACCTGCTCCTGAAAAGATAAGATCACAGCGTGACACGAGACCGAGAGGGAGTAACCACTTGCCTGTGACGGTGAGGTTATTCCCAAAGTTGCCGATACCGTCCCGCCCGTTGGCCTTTGCACCGTTTGGCGGAGCTCGTCTACGGGCAGAAGGAGTCCGCCGATCTGGATGTGGCTTCACATCCTCCTCATCCTCCACCTCGCCATCATCCTCTTCCTCCTCTTCCTCTTCCTCCTCATCTTCCTCCTCATAGTCGTCCTCCTCCTCGTACTCCTCATCGCCATCGTCCTCGTCAAACTCGCTCTCGGGCTGTTTGGCGGGTTTCCGCCCGTTAGTCATAACGGCGCCTTTTGTTCGATGGATGGCATTTGCAGGAGCGTGAGGATTGATGACGGCACCGTTCTTGTCTAGCTCGACGCTGCCCGGGAAGGGCCCTGGGCCTTGTGGGGGAGGGAGGGTACCACCGGACGAGATGTAGCGCTGCTGGTAATTCGCGTACTGTTCTAGCTCCTCGTAATAAGCATCGTACAGTACCTCGAGCTCTTCCTCTATCGCATTCCTATATCTCAACGCAAGCGAGACGGAGACAGCAATGTATGCGGGTCAAGATCAAGGACGGGGGCGGGGAATCTGAGCGTCAGTAAAAATTTTCGGCATGGAGAGAGGGACACAGACCGCTTTCGCCCACATACCGCACAACTGCAGCTGTGCTTCTGCTGCTCCTTCATCTTCTTCAGGACGGCCTCCTTCTCTATTTTGACGAGATTTCTGCGCTCTTCCTCGCCGAGGCCGAGCCAAAACTCCTTGATGCGCTCGCGCTCTTCGGTGGTGCTGGTGCTCCATATCTTGTTGTTTTTGGGAGGCTGGGGCTGGGGGGTGCCGTTCGCAGGCGGACGAGGCTTATGGGGAGCGGAGGCGTTGGAGGATGGAGGCGATGGGTGATGATGGGCATGATTGTGCTGGTAGGCGTGGGAGGGCACACGGGCTTTGGAGGCGGCGCGGAGGCTGGGCGGGGGCGGGTTGGCGGCAGGAGCGGGGGCGG